TTTAATCATCATGTTGAGAAATATGCTACTGAGGTCTCTTCCAAGCTCAAAGCCGAAATCGAGGCCTTAGTGCTAGCACGTAAATATAAATTGAAATGACTATCTTCTACTTGATTATCACTTGTCTGTGCAGCCGCTATAGCCCGCACGAATCACTTCTTTCGGTTATATCAGAGAGACAGATCTGATTAGAAACAGACGTTTCTGTGTCCCCGCTTGTAATGTGTCGAAGAGTGTCCTCAAAGTCACTATTCGCTTATAGAATGAGACACCGTATAGCTTCGCACGAGATTGCTTCTAGAGATCACTGGCAGCTTTGTAAGAGAGTACTATAGTTTGTCCACATGGTGTCTCTGGACGAATATTTGGCTTAATCCAATTGTTCCTTACAAACTTTGTAATTAAGGGCATGTTGAACGTACACGATTCTGGACAATTTCGAATCAATGTAAGGGTCCCCCAGGTCACTATCTTTGAAACTTCTTTGTTTCTTATCTTCATCAACGGACTTTCCGATGTTATCAGTTCCCAACTAGATATTTATTCAGTAAACCCAACAGGTTCGACAAAGTAAAACTGGCAACTGCTCTAGAAAAAAATCCAATCAGTGGTTAACTGGAGCAAGTTGCGTCTTTTAAATTTTAGCGCCTCTAAAATAAAACTGATTTCATTTAATTACCACAGAGAACCTTTTGTACCTGAGATTAGCATGGCTGATGCTAACCTTCAGAAAGGCAACTCTTTGCACCTTCTTGGGCTCACATTTAAAACTTACATGATGGGAAGTGATTATATTGAAGCAATTGCTACCACTACTGCTAGGAAGTAGATCTAGCAATTTGATTCATTGTGCTGTGCTAACCAATTTTTCTCGTCAGAATCCATCTTGCACATTTATAATTCTGCCATTCGTCTATGCATTGAAAATTGCTGTCATATCTGGTCTGATACTTCGTCTATATATATTGAGAATCTTGAAAAAATTCAAAGAAATGTCTGTAATGTAATTGATCTTGACCTTTAGCCACTTTCCCACCGTCGTAACGTCGTTATCCACTGTCTTTTCTACAAATATTTTCATGGCATTCGTTCTGATGACATCTTTTTTTTGGTTCCCCGACCGATACTAGATTGGCAATTAGGCCTCATAGTTTTACTGCAAAAATAGCTAGATTTAACCGTGCGTTCTATTCTAATAGTTTTTTTCTCGAACTTCTCTCCTCAGGAACTTTCTTCCGTTTTCTTCTTTCTCTGCTATCTACAATCTTCAAAAATTTAAATGCTACGTTAATAGCCATCTATTGTTTTCCGTTCTTTTATTGACCTTTCTCTCCTCACTAAATTCTTCTCATTCTCTTCCACTCCCAATAACTCACTGTCCCTCTGTTTTCCTATGACATTCTTGTCTTCAGAATGTCTTGTGTGTGTTAAATTCTGCAAGCGCTTTTACCTCAATACGTGTTCCGGCAATTTGAACTGTTTTTAAGTATCATTGCCATTTTAATTCTTATTTTCTTTTATACTTTTCCGTTTCACACAGATTCAGTCCATAGATATCCCGAACAAGAATTAAGATTGCAATTGCCGCGAGCAGGTAGGGATTTATTCTTAGCAAAAAAAAAAAAAAAAAAAAAATCTGATTGTATGAGCGTCGTTACTTTTATTTAAACCTATTCCAATACTACTAACTGAACTAGGACTAGTACGCTTGTACAAAGAGCAAAGAAAAAAAAAAACAAAAAAACAGGGAAGCATTTTTTAAACAATTTTTGTAGATTAGGGTCCCTTAGACCTTTTTCATGCTATAATTGTCAAAATATTCATTTTTATCAATTTACAAGAAGGTCCTGTTCATAATATAAATTCAGTGTCAAATCGATCCATGACTTTGTTTTTAAGCGTTTCGTCACAAGCAAGGCATGAAGCCACTAGCACGCAAGGGGTTACAGAGGGTTGGGGTGAGAGCAAAGAGGAATGATAGAGGAAAGAATGAAGATAAGGATAGGGGATAGATCAAGGCGTCTGGAGACGCTGACTGATATTACATTTGAATATTTGGAGATTATAGCTATTAGGGAAACAGGAAAAGGGGAGGGATTTCCACATGCGAGAAGTGTGAGCCATGAAGCTATTGGAGAAGAAGAGACGGCTACATTGAACAGTTTCGATAGTGAACGTGTAAGAGCGAGACGCTAGCCTAGTTGAACGCTTAAATTCATGAAGCCTGGGAACCAACGAAAGCAGCTCATCGGAGCGGTTACTATGAAAGTATTTGTAAAAAAGACAGAGGGAGGTAACGGCACATCTGTAAGAGAGCGACTACGGACAAGATGTCAGATCAGGGCCAATTATATTGCATATCCGTCTTTGGATTTTATCAAGGACCTTGAGACAAACAGAAGGGGCTCCAGACCATATATGGCAGCAATACTCCATGCAAAGGGCGAATGGTTGATTTGTAGATTTGAAGGATTGACTCCGACGAGAATAATTTCCTGGCGCGGCACAGGGAGCCAAATTTTCTTGCGGTGGGCAAAACTATTGACTCAATGTAAGTGTCCCATCTCACATCAGCAGACAATGTGAGACCGAGCAATCGCAAAGAGGTGCGCTCATGGAGTTGAGCGTCAGACATTCTAATGGGAGGCAGGGATGGTTCTCTGTGGTGAGTAATAGAGAGCAGTTTTATCTGTACTTTGTTTTTAATTATAAATTTCGAAGGCTTACTGCCATATCACGTTGAAACACCGGTTCCCGCGCGATCACTGACGTTAATCAACGTCGAGCCTGGTCAGTACCTAGATGGGTGTTCTGGGTGTGACGATAAACAACATCCAGCAGCGAGGCCTCTGATCGGGAGATTGGAGTTTTTAAGGAGCGTGGAACCAACTCTTAACTGTTTTTATTCCCAGATCCACCCAGACCATAGTAGTAGCACCTGTTAGGGTCCCAGATATGGGAAAATAATGACCCCCCCCAAAAAAAAAGCAGTACATCTTTTATAATAAAATGAGCAACAATATATTTTATAGCAAATTTATAATCAATGAAACGCTAAAAAATATAAAAATACATTTTTATAGTAAAATTACCAACACTACATTTTATGACCTACAGATTATATCTAAAAATGCCTTTACCCTAAAATTATAAAATTATGTACAATATATCTGTAGTTGAAAGCATAAAATTACGTTCAAGATATTTAGATTTCGGTATTAAATAACTCATCGATGTTGATATGCCGCAAAATAAAATCAACCACCTAACTTAGATCGGTGGCCGCTTGTGATTACCAGGTACTATAAACTTGGATGTGCGGGTGGTGTAATGGATAATGGCTCTGAATTGTTATTCGGAAAGCCGAGTTCTAATTATTGTTGTGTTCATTGTATTCACTTAAGCGCAAATACCCTTGGGAAAGGTATGAATCTATCTCTTTTCCATCCAGATATGGGTTAATTAGTAAAACTTGTATGACTAAATAATTATTATCTCAAAAAAAAAATCTTTACAATCTAAAAATATTTTCTAGCTTTAAATAACCTGCAATGGGTTGAAAACGAAAAGAATCAATAAATAAATAAAAACCACAAAAACAAATGTTGTGCTTACGTCGTTGATAACTGTGTACTATTACGTAATTGATAACTGCGTACTATTATGTCATTGATAACTGCGTACTATTGAGAATTCAGAAAAAAAAACAAAACGACACTTCAGGGAATTTAAGGCGTAAAATGAATGAATAATAAGTTTCTTTATTAACTCTGGTGATTTTTAGTGATGGGTAGAATATACAGCTTTCAGTTTTCATAGCTCGAACCAAGCGTACTTATTCCTGAATGACAAAATAAACTTGGTTATCTATAGCTAATAATGAGAAAAAAACGTCAACTGCAAAATTCACTAGTGCTGGCCTTTAAGTTGAATTCATTACTTACAGACCAAATTGGCAAACTTTCATTGTACAATTCTGTCGCATTCTACTCGTCTGAGAAATTCCTGGTTTTCAGGTCTGGCTCGGTGTCTGAAAATTTGAATAAATTTCTTGAATGTGAACTTTGCAATCAAGAAGCTAAATACTGAACAAATAATTACTGGGCGATTAGCTTTTTTTTTTCTTTTATTCGAGTCATAAAATCACTTTTCTACTCAGAGGTAAATCTATATGAATGCATATATCTTCTCTTGATAATTTTGGTAAAATGTCGACACTCCTGTAGAAAGATTCGAGTCAATCGTCCCTTAATGAAAGGCTTGCCTTGAAAATCAGCATTTAAAACATTGGCTTTTACCTGGGCTCAAACACTCACCATGGACACCATGATATTTAACATATTTAGTCCAAATTATGGCTAAATAAATCAGGGATGATTTTAATGCGTTAAACATTCAACTGTCAATGGCCATTCTAGCTGGAAAATCCTATACTCTTAACCACGTTTGAACAGCATTTGCTTACATGGGCCATACGCAACTCCTTCAGTCCTTGAGCAGAGTTAGTATGGCATAAAACTAAATGGGGAAAAGAAGTGGTTTGTTTGTCTAGAAAAATGGCAATAAAAAAAAAAACTGCGCTTTTAATTTACCCGGAAGAAAGATCCACTTGGTTTATGGAAAGTGCACAACAAACAGACCCCTTATAGTCTCAAATAAATGCCGTTCTCTTTTTGTTTAATAAGGTAAGTTTGTTACACACTATTTTGCGGCGATGAGTTGGCGTAGGTATAGCAATGAAGTCAACATATCACACTGTATGTTTCAATACCACGTGTAAGCAAAGATTAGGATTTTTCTTGCTGATAGATCAAGGGGCGACGAATTCTGCAATGAGGCGCGTATTTTTTTTTGTGGGGGTGAAGAAGAACAAACATAAACCCGCCTATCCTGCTGTCATGATCAGCAATCTGAACTTTCACATGATTAATAATGCATTCGATCCTCACTGAGCGCTCCATACTTGTGATTTTGAGACAAACCAAACGATACTTAGTAGCTTACAACAAAGGAGATGAAGGAAAACAAAGAAGATGAAGGAAAACAAATGAGATGAAAGAAAACAAAGGAGATGAAAGCAAAGGAGATGAAGGAAAGCAAAGGAGGTGAAGGAAAACAAAGGAGATCAAAGAAAACAAACCAGGTGAAAGAAAGCAAAGGAGATGAAAGAAAGCAAATGAGATGAAAGCAAAGGAGATGAAAGAAAGCAAATGAGATGAAAGCAAAGGAGATGAAAGAAAGCAAATGAGATGAAAGCAAAGGAGATGAAAGAAATCAAAGGAGATGAAGGAAAAGGAGATGAAAGAAATCAAAGGAGATGAAAGAAAGCAAAGGAAATGAAGGAAAGGGAGATGAAAGAAAGCAAAGGAGGTGAAGGAAAGGGAGATGAAAGAAAGCCAAGGAGGTGAAGGAAAGGGAGATGAAAGAAAGCCAAGGAGGTGAAGGAAAGGGAGATGAAAGAAAGCCAAGGAGGTGAAGGAAAGGGAGATGAAAGAAAGCCAAGGAGGTGAAGGAAAGGGAGATGAAAGAAAGCCAAGGAGATGAAGCAAAACAAAGGAGATCAAAGGAAAAATGAGATGAAAGAAAGCAAAGGAGATGAAAGAAAGCAAAGCAGATGAAAGAAAGCAAATGAGATGAAGGAAAATGAGATGAAAGAAAGCAAAGGAGATGAAAGAAAAGGAGATGAAAGAAACCAAAGCAGATGAAAGAAAACAGTATTTACATTGTATCATAATGTACTTAGTTATTTCTGATCCGTCACTCTGATCAGTCGTTTTAGGTCACCTGTAGTTGATTGAAAACAAAAAAATGTAGAAATACCTCGACGAACAAGATAGATTCGCAGACATTACTTCTAGATCCACAACAGAATTCCATTTTATGGCCTTTTACCAGTCTTTTACCAAATAAATAAACATGAGTCGAGTTTTCCTGTAGGGCCGTAATTGCTGGACAATTTCCTTAGAGGCGTAGAAGAGACTCGAAGCGACAGAGATGTGGTTCTACAGAAGGATACTGAGAATTCCACGGACAGAAAGCGGGAAAAAATGAGCAAATGTAATGATTATGGAAACTAGAAAGACACACAATTAAAATCAGAAAGAGACAAATGAAATTTCTGAGGCACATTATGAGAAAAAACGGCTTGGAAAATAAAATGCTGGTTGGTTAAGTTGAGGAAAGGAGTAGAGAGAAGTGAACAATATATCTACTGTGTTTGTGTGAACGTATTTGAATTTCGTAGGGTGTCGCCTACTAATAATGTTGTGCCAAAGTAATTTATTAAGTTAGGATTATCAACAATAAAAAGATTTGGCCCCATGCAAATAATTACCGCTAATATACGCATGCGTTGGTTGGGAAGGTAATTTCTCAAATTTCTCGTTAGTCAAATCTTTATTCATATCTACGAATAGCATGTTTTTGTTTTTATTCAGTGTCCTTTATTCTTTACAAAGCTTTATTTTTTTAAAACTAAAACTTTCCGTAATGTAAGCTAAGATCATGAAAATGAATTTGTATTGAGTCCCGCTAAAAATAAATGAAATATAAAAACAATATATATAAATAAAAATTAAAATAATTCAAATTAAAATAAGGAATTTGCGTTTTTCTTTAAAACCTCTCCCCCTCTCTCTCTCTCTCTCTCTCTCTCTAAACTTCTCTCTAAACTTATCTCTATATGCTTCTCTCTCAACTAATGAGAAGACAAGCATCAAATAAAGAAGGGAGAAGAAAAGACTGAATCCAGCCGAAAAACACCTGAAGTTTACGGGACCAAAGCGTACTAATTGGTAACTAAAAACTACCAATAATCAGGGGGGAACTCTTCGCATAACTCCCGTTATATAAAAAAGAAAGAAAGAAAAAGAAAGGCACGTCGGAAAATAAAATAATTTGGGCCAATCAAAATAATTAACACAAAAAGACTTTTGATATTAGCCGAAACCATTGTGCGCGCCAGAGTCTCGGGGCCTAGTGAAAAGGATATAAGCTCACTCCTCGCAGCTAAACAAGGAAGGACGGCAAGAGAGGACGGAACAAAAAGCATTACTGCTGAGAAACCAGCCAGTAGTTAAGCGGTCATCTGCTAATCATATTTCTGCCCTGCTTAAGGCAGAGAAAAACACAGTAGAGTGACACTGATCTATTTCTAAAACGACTACGACTTTCAAGTGCTGACATCCCAAACCATCAAATACCGATTCGAAACAGACTTTCTCCAAACTACTACCAATATACGCCTCATAAACCAACATTTTCCTACAGTGAATAGCAAAGGACTGTCTTTAAAGTGTGACGTCGTCCCCCGGTCGCAGCGTCGACTGTGTCGTTTGATCCCGGTCGCGGCGCCAATTGTGACGTCACGTGCTCCCCAGGCTCTGATATCCTGGTCACGGACAGCACCAACTGTGACGTCTTCGCCGCGGCGTCAGCTGTTCGCTCCTCGCTGCTCCAAACGTGACGTTCTAACCCTTTGGTTAGATTGATACCAGCCTCGCCGTTCCCAACCCGCTTCCAACGCCTGGTTACCAGGGTAACTGCACTGATCTCCAGTCTGCCTACCCACGTTGTGAATTGATCTTAGACAGACGAGATCAAACAGGGCTGGGGCCGTAATGCAAGTTGAATCAACGGGGTGATAACACACAATTATGTATAAAAAGAAAATAAAATAAAACTCACAAGGTCCAACGTATCAAAGAAAAAGGTAACAAACTTTTTGTGTCTATTTGCTCGGTACATAGGACTATGTCTACTTCCCGACCCGTTCTGTGGATTGTGGCACGACGCTTTTACTAGGCAACTTTAAGGCTTCAAGTTGTCTGCCCTCTAAGAAATTTGTGTTTCGGTGTGTCTTTGGACGAAAGTCGAAAAAATAAAACTTATTTCTGTGGTTTGATTCTAAGTCGCTCTTCAAACTACTTGTTCTTGGTTGAAGAAGAGTCCAGAAGTGTGCGTGAATCTTGGTCAGCTATCTTGACGCGGTTTCAACACTGGGCGCTCATCTCTGCTTGTCGTCCACGGCTGAACTCTTTCGCCGTCCGCGGCTGAACTAACTTCTTCTCTTCAGAGTCTGAATTACTGGTCACTCATCTCCGCCGTCGGTGCGCGAACTAACTTCTTCTTTTCGGCTTGGGTCGGACGAACTTCTTCACTTAGGCCAAACGAACTGGCCTCTCCTGCCCGCAAAGTGGGCAACCGAACTCGGGCTGCCGTCCGCGGTTCCACTCCGCTTGCCGTCCGCGGCTGAAACTCTCCCGCCGTCCGCGGCTGAACTGATTTCTGTCGGTTGGGGTCTCGCTTTTATTGACGCAGTCAAAACTGGGGTGGGTCTGTCGGCGCCAGGGGTTTCTTCGATAATTCTAAATACGTATCCACCCTTCTTATTTCTGGTTAGGGATTTTTCATTCTTTTCCATTTTCGGTAACTCACTCTCACTTCCACTCCCTTACTGTGCCTCTAAAAGGCGTGTACCCGCTTCCCCGCTTCTTCGTATCGGCTCCTTACACTTACACTTCTGACAGGGGCGTCGACCGATTCTCCTCGTGCGTCACGTGACCGCTCTCGGTCAATGAGGTCCTGGTCGGGTATCTTTCCTCCTCCTTCGTGTGTCATGTGATCTTATTTAGCCAATGACATCTTTAGTTTGGCGTGGACAATCCGTGGCTTTGTTTTGGGAAAGAAACACCTTGCTTAAAAAACAAAAATATTAATTTAAATCGCCCTTATCATGAGCGACTGAGATGTCACCTTCGGCTTTTTAACACGTGGTATTTGTCAAGCAGTTTATCGCTAATTGGATATGATCTAAGAAAGGAATTTCTCAGACTCGTTGGCCTTTCTGAACGGAATAAAAATATTTCATTTTCCTCCGCTCGAAGGTCTGATAATAAAAATCTTTTCTAATTCTGAAGACTGTCTATGTTTTCGTATTAATGGTTTGTCTTCATATCCTTAGATACACTTCCCCACCCACTTAGACCTTTACTATCATTCCAATGACACTCTTTCCCACTTGGTACTTATCAACATTTTCATTGTCCCTAAACTTCGTTTCTTCTTTTCCTCTTGGGTGACAACCAATTGATAACAACTTCCATTTTCCACGGATCCGCGGAAATCGGTCAGATGCTTGACCTGAATATTTTTCGACACCTGTTATCTGTCAGCCGTGCGTGTGTGTGCTCGCCTATGACCTGTTTTCGTATTATTTTTTTCTTTCTTTCTTCTTCGTTTTTCCCTACTTTCTCCCAGATCGCTTGAATGTAAAGAAAGAATTATTCTTAAAACCCAGAATATTTTTCGGCCTTAAATGATTATTAAATGGTTGATAAACCGTAAAAAACAAATCATATATCTATGAATATTTCTTTCAGCTCGTCAGGTATGCATGGTGCCACAAAAGTAAATAAATAAAAATATATATTATACCTTATACTCTTGCGATCCAGGCCTTTTATTTCTGGAGTTTCGGTAAATAAATACCAAGAAGCATCCTACCACACTACAGCACACAATCACAGAATATTCTGTTTAATATCGCTTCTTGTATAACTCATAGAGAAAACCGTTATGACTAATCCATTTCATTTCGGTTAAGTAAGGCATTACACGAATTTATTTTTGAACTGACAATTCTATACATTTTCAGGTTATCTTTATTTTTGTTGTTTTTAGCACGACAGTTCAGCCGACATGAACTTCGATTTGAGTTAGATGTATTTCGCAACTAGTGGTCTTTAAAACTTCTAAGTGAGCGTTGTTTTTTGTTTTGTTTTTTAACTCTTCAACATCTCGTATTAAAAATGGCTGCTATAATCTCGTATTAACGAGAGTAAAGACGAAATAGGAAGAAAAATAATATTTTTTTTTATTGTTGTCCATTGTTGTAAGAGGTATGAACGAGTTCGCACAATCAGTGTCATTGTTTTATTTTTCAAGCAGCCTAAGGTGGTCCCCTGACAAAGGAGTCCTAAAATACCAAATTATTTGTCATTTCTTATTTATAGTAATATTTAGCTTTCAATATAACATTATGTGCGACGTGTTTCAACTTTTGAACGTACACATTTTGAAAAAAAAAAAGGAAAAAAGAAATTCCTTAGAAAGTTGGTGTCATTATTGTGTTTTCTTTTCTTGTTACTTCAGTGTTTCATTTCAGCGACAACAATTACTTTTATATTTCTTGATTCATATATATATATATATATATATATGTGTGTGTGTGTGTGTGTGTGTTTGTGTGTGTGTATGTGTGTGAGTGCGTATGCCTATGTATGTGTGCGTGTGTAAGAATAGTAAAAATATAGATATGTAGTCAGAGCAACAATAGTTGTAAAAATTCATTGAACAAAAAAATTGACATATGCGCAAATAACGCCTTTGTCATATATACTAGAAAGAATTATATAGGTAAATATTTGACGCGTCACCCTCTGTTTCTTTCTCCATAGTGTTAGTAGTAGCACTTGAAAGAATACAACACTTGCTATTCTCTGGTTTGCTTCAACTCTCATACTATTCGAACGCCTGATGGAACGGGAGCCTAAACAAGGGCTATGAATTCTTATTTCAAATAATCTGGCTACATCTGACCGCATGAAAAAGCAAAGAAAAGAAGAGCTATTGTCTTGTTTATCATAATACACCATCTATCACAATCTTTGGCCATGCTATGTTGCTGAATGTAGAAGCAATTTTTTTTCGTACATTTGTTTTCAGTATATCC